GCTAGCCTGGCTGGGTTCGCCACAGTGCCAACAGGTCACCCCCTTGAGTCCAGTTACTCTCTTCAGTCTGCTCCCCTTGCTTTCCTCCAGCGTTTGCAGTCGTTGGATTGGGGTCTTTTGGACGTGTTGTCCGCAGTTCTTTCTGTTTCCTATTTTGCTGTGCACTCCTGTCAGCCCCCATAGCCTCTAATGGCTGCAAGATGCAGAATTTCACCACCTGAGTTAAACCAATCTCCTTTCATTACTTTCTATTTACTACTTTCCTTAGTGCTCCACAGTTGTTGTCTTGTGGGATTTAACTGGACAATAATTCTGCATTCCGCAAGTTACTTTGTGATTGTATCAGCCTTGACCATCTCTTCCCTAGCCTTTTCTCCAAACTGAAGAATTCAAAGCATTTTAGTTCCACCTTCTAAGCTTCTCCACCCCCTAGATCAATTTTTGCCTATGCTCTGTGACTTCACTTCACTGCCTCCCACTTGAGATGTAGAGACCAGAACTGTACATGTTACTCAAAATGTAGGTGCACCAACGTTTTATATAGCCACAAATTGATACAGTGTAATATATATATATGGTGTATATATACACATAGAGAGAGAGAGAGAGAGTAAAGATACAGTATATTATTTAGTGACATTCTGTTGTGTTCTCAATGTTCTTGATGGTGCCCCATATTTTGTTGGCTTCTTTGGCCAGTCCACTGACTGCGTTGACTAGATCTCTACTCATTAGAAAGGGAGCCAACAGCAAATAGCTCAGAGGTGGACTCCTAGAATTACATGACATAAATCCTACCTTTAGTGATTGCTTTACGGAAAAGCTCAGTGGCACACTATAAAACCAAAATCATTAGAATATATCACTTACAAGCCATCACATGAGCACGGAATAGAGTCTGTGATCAGGGCCAGGCCCCTAATCACTCATCCAAGTACCAGGTATGTATATGTGGTTTTGCTGCTAGGAGAATTTTCATCAGGAATATGACAGTAGATGACAGCAGAACTGGCAAAAGTTAGTAAGAGTAAATGAATGGCACTAATTTAAATTAGAAAAGATAACCTATCTTTAACCAGTAGCAGATGTCAGCATTTAGTGAAACTTTTCTGAAGAATGGACAGTACTATTTGGAGCTGTTTGATTACTAGTAGGAGCTGTATTATCTGCTGAATGGACAACACAGTGGGCACAAGTAATCCAGGTTATTTCTGAAGGGTGTTAGGGATAAATTCTTAACACCCTTGCTGGATGGGCCATCTAGTTGGACTAGATGCTGTTCTGGATCTGGTACTCATGACCAAGGAAGGATTGTTTGGGGATGTGGTAATCAAGGGCAGTGTTGGCTGTAGCAAGCATGAAATAGTAGCATTCAGGATCCTGCGGGGAGTGAAGAAGGCAAGTAGCAAAGTAACAGATCCTGGACTTCAGAAGAATAGATTTTGGGTTATTCAGGGAAATGGTAGATGGGATTCTGTGGGAGGCAGCTCTGAAGGTCAGAGTAGCTCAAGAGAGCAGGCAGGTCTTTCAGGACAGCTTCCTCCAAGCACAGGAACAGTCTATCCCAGCAATCAGGAAAATGAGTAGGTGTATCAGGAGATAAACTTAGCTAAACAGGGAACTCATGACTGAACAAAAAATACATATACTGGAGACAGAAAGAAGCATGTGCTACAAAAGAGAGATACAGAAACATTGCTTGGTCTTACAGGCATGGTGTTAGGAAAGCTAAAGCTCAGTTAGATTCGAAACTGGCAAGGGATGTCAAAGGAAACAAGAAACGCTTCTACTGCTATGTTAACAATAAGTAAGCAAAATATGGGACTGTTACTGAATTGTATGGATGATTTCGTGACAGTAGACACAGATAAACTTGAGGGACTCAATGCTGCCTTTGCCACAGCCTCTTCTAAGGAGGTCGTCTAGGCTTCTGTGCCCAGAGGTAGGGTTCAAGGAGAAGAACTATCTGTAGTGGAAGAGGATCAAGTCAAGAATCTCTTGAGAACACTCAGCCCCCGCAAGCCCATGGTACCGAAAGGGTTGCATCACAGGGGGCTGAGAGAGCTGGCTGATGTCACTGAGCAGCCACTCTCTGTTATCTTTAGAAGGTCATGGAGATCAAGGGAGGCCAAATCCACATTGAAGGGGATACTTTAAGACTCTACTCAATCCATTATTCAGAGTAGACTACAAAGGCAGAGGGAAAATACAATTAAGCGTGATGCTTTTCAAATATCAGAGAAAGGTCCTGCCATCTTTCCTTGACTTAAATAAACTTGCCCCTGTGTGGTGTGCCATCGTGTCCTGAGCAAATCAGTCCCAGGGCCTTGGAGGGAAGGGTCATGGTATCCCCAAAGTTGCCTCAGGGGGCAGGGGAAGGGCATGGCGCTAGTGTAGTGTAGACATTCTAAAGGATGGACATGCCTGAGATGAGAAAGCTACCTCCTACTCCAGCTTCTGGAACGTAGCGTATCACCTGCTTGTTGAAAGGTTGTGGATAACAGTACTCAAAAGATGGAGAGAAAGAGGAAAGAAATCCTGCTCTAACACTGGCTTCAGGGTAGACCAAAGCTGGAGGACAGAACAGGGAATGTCTTTTCCTGGACCAGCTGCACAAGAAATCCCTGGAGCAACTAGGCAATAAAAGACCTGGGACTGATAACACTGCTGGGAGCTCTGTGGTCACAGTTCCTACCTTGAGACTCTGGCGTAATGAACCCAATGGCTGAAGCCCTGAAATACGTGAAACCTCTTGTGATTCATGTAACCATATGTACTACAGAGTGGATGATATAAGGGATTGCATGTCCCATCTGTTGCCCTTCTTCAGTTAAAAAATTCATGTCAGCTGAAACTCTGCAACTGTGAGGATGTTGGCTGTGATGTCTGAGATAGATAACTGATTCTTAGAATAGTTTCTTACACTGTTGTACACATTGTTATACATTCTTAAAATAGTCATGCCTATCTAATAAAAGCAATCCAAACAGTGGGTGCTTACTAGGCTCTAGTGGTGAAAACAACCCTCTTTTCAACAGTCATGGGATTCTAGAGATAGTTTCTTAGTACTGTATGGTGAGCACCAGTTCCACTAGATGACCTGAAATATGACCTTCTGCATGGGGAAATTTTGCACCCATTGCCAGTCATTAAAGTTCTGGAGGATAATTTTGTTCCACTAGTGTGTATTTTGTACTCTCACATTATAGTCTGAGGGGGACAGTGTGTAGACTGCAGCCACCAGTGCAATCAGTTCCTGTAAGGGAGGGAGAATGTCACAGCTGAGTTAGACCTGCCTTTTCTCCCGGTCTTGCAACACAGCTCCATCAAGGAAGCTGGTATCTGCCCATCACTCCCTGAACACTCTTGTCCCTGGGGTGAAAATGGCCCTGAAACAGTCTTCTATGTTGGTTGCCTTGCCTGTGGCAGTTACAGAAACATTAGGCAGCACATACATTGCAACACTGCAAAAGAAGACCCTGGAGATTTGTATGGAACAAGATGCCTGTCATAAGAGTATTCTGGTGTGATCACAAGGTGTTCATGAGTCAGGTGATCAGAAAGTCCTCTTATTGACTGGTTAAATGACAGGAAATTAATACCTGGTCTGTTTGCACATCACTGAGAAGCCATCAAAAAAGTCCAGTGGGAAAAGAGCAGGAACATTGCCTGTTATACTAAATTAATATTAATTAGTGAAACTAATGAAGGGTTTAGGAAGAACCTCACAATACTGAAAAATTGAAAGTAATGTACATGGGGAAAACCAAACCTAACTGTATATAGCAATGATTTATATTTATGTATGTATATATGAGCGCGTGTGTGTGTGTGTATGTGTGTATGTATACACATACCCCTATAACAACCAGTTGCAAACACACTAGAGTTGAGTGGTTCTCTGAAAAAATCTGCTCAGTGATTAGCAGTAAAGACACAAAGAGACTACTAGAAATTATGAGGCAAGAGTAAATGCAAACAAGAAACATCAGTATGTAGATGTATAATTTCATTTTGTGTCTATGTGTTGAAAACTATGTACAGTTCTACTTAACACCCCCCTGTCTCCCGCCCCCCACCAAAAGATACAGTAAAACTAGCAGAACTGCAGGGAAAAGGAAGAAGGGTTATTACAGGAATTGAACTGTTCTATGTAACAAGCGATTACGTAGGGTAGAGTAGCACTACTCTGAAAAAGAATCATACAATAGTAGAAAAATTAATGCTGGGAGGGACCTCTGGGGGTTTCTAGTCCAAACTCTTGCTCACACAGGGCCAAATTCAAAGTTGGATCAGGTTCCTCAGAGGGCCTTCCAGCTGAGTTTTGAATATCTCCAAGGATGGAAATCCCACCATCTCTCTGAGTCCCTGTCCCAGCGCTGGACACAGCTGGAGTAGACACAGTGCAAGCAATGGAAGCCTTTATCCTACCCATTTCTGATTTCTTGTATTGGATCAGGTTCCTACCCATTTCTGATTTCTTGTATTGGATCAGGTTGGACTATTTTATGTCCAAGTCCAAGAAGTCCAAGAAGTCATCCTGACAAGTTTGTTGAGTCTCCTACTTGCTACCCGAGTTCCATAAACTTAGAAAGATCTTGACCTCTAGATGGGCAAAACAGCCACCATCATAATCTGCTTTGACAGTTACAAGCAGTTTAAACCAGGATTTTAGAAATCAACTGACAAATTTAACTACAGGCAAGTCCAAATGCAAATAATTCTAGCAGAAGTTAGAATTCAGCCATGCTGAGATACTTCTGTTATCAAAGAATTTTTTATTCAGCTACATCTGATATCCTTCAACAGGTAACAGTCTAAATGCAAAGCAACTATATGGAAAGTTACCTGCCTGTATCTGTCAGGAAATAACACCAGTCATTTACTGGCCTTTACTGCACTGGCAATGACAGAAGAAAACATTGTACCGTAGAAGATCAAAGCTGAGCTCCCAAATTCCATGTTACATGTACTTTGAAAGAGTGACGGCACATCTAGTGTTACAAGGTTTTTTCCTTACATTTTATTTCTTAAGGGAAGGGTCTTTCCCCCTCTACCTCCCAGAGGCTTATGTTCAAATTCTTGCTTTGACAACAGTGCATCAGACATGCAGTCAATGCCCGCATCTGGCTCCTGTCCGTTCACTGAGAGACAAGGAATGGTTGTTTCAGGTGCTGTGACCAGAAGACACGAAAACTAATGACAGAGGATCACCAAGGTGAGCTAACTTCTGATCTCATGTTTTTTCACGTCTTACACACACTTAGAAGGGACTCAGTAGTCAAGGTTGAATAAGCCAAGTCTTTTTGCAGCCAGTTTGCCATTAACCCCTAGAGGGGAACCATGCTGACAGCATCCTCATGGGCCCCTCTAGGGGTGTCCTGCAGGGACTGTAGGACCATGCCCCCAGAGCAGGGGCTGACAAACCTGGAGGACAAATAGCAAGGCTTTGGAAATTCCTGGGTTACCCCTGAGCAGGTACCTTTCCTTTCTAGGGCTTAGAATTGAAAAGAGATTTGGAAAATTAATATTTGTCTAGAAAAAGTCTCGAATCCTCAAATTTGTTCAACTTGCTGACTTTGGTGGGGTTTAAGCATCTAAATTCTGATGAGGATCTTAGTCGTACAATAAAATGAACACAACGGAGAAAACCGCTGAAGGAAATTAATAATAATGTTAATAATTAATAATGCTGGTTTTGGTGCAAAGTCTGAATATGAAGTCTTTGAATGCAAAACCTGATGCATAATGCCTGTAAGGAGACTGAAAAAGAAGGCTCACCAGTTAACCATTCAGTGAGCGCCATCTCATCTGTTCACTGAACAGGGAAAAACTTTGAAAGAGCTGGGTGTTACAGTTTGCAGTTAACCTTTATTTGACCCCCATCGGACTGCCCAGCCGTAATCGGGATTCCCGCCAGTGTCCATTTAAATTCACTGGTGAGGAGAGGTCACATGTTGCTAGGGTCCTTGGCTGTCCATCACAGGGAACTTTCCAGAAGGGAGGCGGAAACCAGGCTCTGCCTGACTATGCTCACAATTGCGCCTTGACTATAAAAGGTTGCCGCTGGCACTACAGGCTTGGCTGCTGGAGGGCTGCTGGAGTTGGTGGTGGTAACAGAAGAAAGAAGAGAAGAACCAAGAGGGACCATGGCTGCGGGACAGCCATCGTCGGGAACGAAAGCACCGGATAGGAAGACCAGCGCTACTTCAGTGCCTCCCCCTCAACTCCCTCCTCGTATGGGACGCCAGGCCAGGGCAAGCCTACTGGAGTCCACCACTCCTGAGCAACTGCACGAGATGCTGTGAGTTAATCACTACAGGCTTTGCTCCTGGAGATTGGCATACCCCATCGGTGTGACCGGATCACGGATATGGGTTGTACCCAAACATGGTTTTATACCGAGGATCAGCACACCCCCACTGGTGTGGCTAGATCACTTCTTTTTGTTTCCGGGGATGGGCACGCCTGCCCAGCGCTACCTGATCAGGGCAGTTGTTCCCCCCCTGCCCCCGCACACCTTTTTTTTTTATATAGACATGTCAGTATCGTTCATAATTTTATTTACTGTGGAACCTCATTTGCCTTGTTGTTATTTTTCCCAGAAGCCTCCACTAAATATCATTATATATAGTTACTGTAGGTCTGTATTGATTGTTTAGCTGAAATCAGTAAAGTTACATTATTTGTAAGTCCATTGATCCAAATACTGTAACCCTATACCACCTAAACGAACCCAATTCCAATTAGTATTCCAATATTTGATAAGTCCCAAAGAGAATAATCAGTTTTCCAAAATGCCCTTTAACTGGCGTGGGAGCTCCTCTGCTATGGACCGGGACACTGGGCTATTGTTACTGTCTGTCAAAGTTCCTATTCACAAAGTAACTGAATTAAAGCTGAGCAACCTTAATGCCCTTTGCATGTAAAATTTTGAGAAGTAATTTTATACGTAGGAACAGAATTTTCCTCCTGATGCATAAAGCTGCAACTGCACTAACTATGCCAAAGCTGAAATGACAGACCATGGCCCACCCAGGCAAAAGTTTCTGGCATTCATTATGCTTTCCAAACCACTAAGATTCTCCAAGGAAAATCTCTGGCTGAGCCAAGAATAAGGGTGAGTGCGATGTACAGAAGATGGAGGTCTTTGGGGACTAAGTGTGACTTTTTACTTTCTTCTCCACAGAGAATAAAATCTATTCTTCATGAGTGGGATGTTTAGTGGAGGAACAGTACTGACTTCACAAGTGGACTCCCTGTAGCAACTAAACATGCATTAAACTTGAGGCCTTTTCCATAGCTAATGGAGGGAAAAGATGACAAACACATGTCCTTTTATAGAGGTAATGCTTTAACCCCTATGGCTGGAGTCAATCCAAGAGCCAAGAGAGCTTTAGTTCTTGTGAAGGAGGTGTAGAAAGTGAGACAATCCCATGAAACTGGAAATGGAGACGTCAAAGGTACTGTCAATCCAATTTTATGAAATTCCTGTGGTAGATGCAAATCCTTTCCAAATGCTACATTCTGTTTCTTCACCTCGTCTTCCATTTTAATGGATGTTTTGCAACATGGATATTGGGATTCCTTTTCAAGTGAAAATATGTTTTTATTTCCTATCTATCTGGATTGTCATAATTAAAATCACTTTTGGTTACTTGTTTGGAAGTATTATTTGGATTATGAATATAATTCTCAGAGATACCTTAGGAGCTCTCTCAGCCTGGAAAGCAATAGAACTAACTTTATCACTCAGAGAAGATAAAGAGAGACCTCTATTCAGAAGCGAAGGTTTTCTGTTAAAAGCATCTGAATGAAATGAGTGTCTGATACAGACTCAAAGAAATAACAACAGCCACGAAAACACCCAGCAAGTGTGTAAGTGAATAGGACAGTAGGAGGCCTGAGACTATGTGTAAAGCAGGGTGCAGGTACTGGAATCTTAGAGTGGAAAGACCAAAAGCAAGGAGTAAGCAGGCAGACAGTGCTTTAGGACAGGTCTCTGAATGCCTGTTGCCAGGGTGAGCCTATGGAGGACCACCGTAGTGCCAGATCAGCATTAGCCCTAGAAAAAAATGCCTGAATTTTATCCACAAGGTCAATTTATGCTAGAGCAGAAACTTTGTGCATTAGGCTGCAGCAGTTTTGATTTGATCACAGTTGACTTAAAGCTGATTTTGTCATCTCCTCTGATCTTGGCCTAAGATCAGAGGAACAAATCTTTGAACAGATTTGTAAGATGTTATTTTGTACATGTCCTCCAACAGCTTAAAGAGCTAAGCAGTAGTGCTGGCAGCTGTGTGATGTCCAAATGACAGTCTAAGTCTGTCTGTGTGGGTCTAGAACTTGGCTGTACCTCATCACTGGGGAACTGGATCATGTTTGGTGCAGACACTTTCCAGAGAATTTGGTTGAAAACTTTAGCATGTTTCTAATAACTTGAAAACCATAATTTTCAGGGATATATAATGTGCCCGAGTTAGCTCCAATTTTCATGGAATTAAGCCCCTGTCCCAAAGCAGACATGTCCTACAAACTCAGCAAAACACTCGTATTGAAAAGGGGTGATAATAATTACCCATTATATGAGTATCTAAAAAATAATAATTACATTTTGAACTTAAACCCTCATTCTGATGCAGATATCCATCATGGAAAATTTCAGTTCAGAGTATTAAAGTCTATTAAATCTAGAAGCAACTTCAAACATGCTCTTATCATGGAAATGTCAGGCAACATCAATTACAGGCACCACTTTAGTGGCGCTTGTACTATAGCACCTCTTTGTTTCAATTCATTCATCAGTTTCTCCTTTTTAAACAATATATCAGTTATTTTTACTTTCTAGGTTCTAGTGTCTCCTACTCTATTGTCTTCATCACTATTGAGATGTGTGAATATTGTCTCCAAATAATCATTCTACCAATATCTTTTAAGCCTTCAAAAATGTTTTAATGAGCAGTCTTTCTGTGGTGCATTTCTTCACAACTACCACTACCAGGTGATAGTACCATGCTTCTCTAATGAATATATGGTAGTAGCATAGTGGGTGGTGTGACCTAGTTCAGGGAAGTGATTTAGCAAGAAATTTACCCCATAAAGTTATACTCACTAGACTTTCAGAGCCAGCAGGTCACAGTGTGTTCTCTAATCATGTTCTAATTAGAGCCCAAACTTCTCTGGCATCATTAACATACCAGAGTTTGGAGCCCAGATTCTGATTTAATTTACCATAAAGTAAATCTAGAATAATATAAGCATAAATGTGAGCCTGGCACTTTATTATTTCAAAAAAAAAAGAAAACTCCACCCACACCAACTTTACAGTTCCTGTGACTTTTAGAAATTAATTACAAGAGTTATCTGTACCCTGTGAGCCTGTCAACTTGCTGATCTAACTGGAATCTATTTTGGGTACATGCCATTAAGATACTATAAATGCCTTGCCTTCTGATTAGTACTATTGTTAGGTCAGCATTTCTAAAGGGACATGGCCTAAAAGTCACTATGACTTTGACAAATTAAATATTTTTCCATGGCAGAGCTATCCAGAAAAAAAAAAAAAAAAGAAAAGAAAAGAAAAAAAGAAAGAAAGAGATCCCTATCTGAAGGCTTTCTACGTCTGAGATTTTGTAATTTGAGGCGCTCAGTCCTTGAAGGATTTATACAATGTTGTTCTTAGCATGCTAGTAACAATATCACTGCCATTTTGATCCATAGGTGTAAGCTTTCAACCACAGCTAAAGAAACAGAGTCTCTAAAGTGAAGACAGCACCATAGGTAATCTTGGTCACCCTTCTCCAACTCTACGTCATTATTAGTGCAATGGACAAGAAGGTAGTCACTGGATGTACACACCATGTAGGTCAGAAGATGCACCACTTTGTCTAGTGTTGGTGGTAGACCTTGTTGAAGCAGGAAGTTGTACTAGAGTCCTCCAAAGGTCCCTTCTACCAGCACTTCTATGATTCTCAGAGATGCAGTCACCATTATGAATTGGGAAGCATATCCAAGAGTGTGTACAAGTCAGGTTTGGCTGGAACTGATCCAGCTGAAAACTTATTTTTTTAACTTGTCTCTCTGCTGTGGGGTTATTTTTCAGAGGGTTGATTCCTCATGGCACATGGGAGCTGGTGAGAACAAGCAACCTCAGGAAGGACAGGACTGCCCTTTTCAACAGCAGCATGGGTTTATGCCAAAGTCATGGTGAACGGCAGCAGTTCACATGCTTTCTCAGCTGCCAGCACCATTTCTGTGGGTCTTCTGGATTCACTTCAGAATGATGTTTTGTTAGAGTCCTGATTTCACTTGTGACTGCTGGGACCTCCTATGGCTTTGTGACCTTCAGCCAGAAACTGCTGTGCTAATGATATTGGGTTACTGAACGGCTGCTGAGCCACAGATTTACAAGCATTTACTTACTGGAATAGATAACAATAAAGAAAACACATCTGTTTGCCTGATTTCAAAGCACCTACAACTGTAAAGGCAGTGGTTCATCACTGAAAACTACTTGGGCACATAATACTGTGGGAATCTTTAAGGCTGTGATAGTGGACATTGGTTACCACCATGAGTGTTTTCAGAGGTTCTGACTCAGCAGATGATTTCTTATGAAATATTTATTTCCCCTTTAGGGAACACAGTAACCCATAGGATATTTCCCTGAGGAAAAAAGGCCAGCAGTCTTTCTCCAGCTCCAGAAGGAAAGGCATCATCTCCTGACAGTTTTGAGGAGGCCTATATGAGAACCAGGAACCAACCACCTATGCTGCACATTTACTTCTCTTTTGTCTAGCATCTGGTACAGTTTCACAAAGCTTTTGGGCCGCTATTAAATTCAGTTACTTCTAATGTCCTTGTCTGCAGGGATTCACAATGATTTCAGTGGGACCATCTACAGAGCAGATACTTGCTGCGGTGAAAGGATCAATAGAAGTCATATCTGTGGATTGATTCTCATGAGTGAAGCTACTTGCATACTCAATGCACTGCAGAACTGAACCTGTATTATAAAAAGAAGGGAAGAATGTGAGGCTTATTCAGCATTTCCATGGACCTTATGCAAATTCAATTGCAGATCATGTCACAGGATGGAGTCATGAGCCACTGGCATGAAGGGGAAAGTTTTATGTTTTTACTCTGCATGTAATAAACAGCCCAGCAACAGCTGGGTGAAAATCTTCAGACTTTAAACTGCATCTGCACATGGTCCACATCTGGAGTACAAAGAGCTTCCAGTCAACTATACTTATCAAATCCGCTAGGAAAAATCAATTGCAAAGATGCCACTGAGTTCTAGCCAAGGAGATTTAAACTAATGTGCTTGCATGTGTATTATGCATATGGCCAGATATCAAAAGCCACTTGATGAGCAGATCCCATGACTAAGTAATTTTATCATTAATAATTATCTGCACATGAGTGAGGTTAAAGGCAAATATGTGTGTGTGAGGGGAAAAGATGAGAAGAAAGGAGCAATTTTCTCTTTATATCTTCTTGAAAGAGCAAAAGAAAAGGCACAATCCTGTTTCCTTCTAGGCAAAGTTATTTTAAGATCAGATTTCTTATTTCTTTTCTTCTTTGATTAGTTTTAACTGAGACCTATGGACAGGCATCTTGAGAGACTGTAAGGCCAGAAGAGACCTTTTGCATATCAAAAATCCTGTAAAATTCATGTATTTAACCCCTTCTTGTGTTCAGTAATTCACAGTTCCCTAAAGATTACCTTCTGGAGAGAAAACATACTACACACTAGTAGCCACTAACACAGCCCCACATCCCCACCCCAATGTCTGCTTCAAAACACCACCACCCCAACCTATCACTGTCACATCCATTTCACCACCGACCCCTCCACCCACAGCCTGTCACCACAATTTCCTTCCCACCATAGCTGACACACCCACACAGCACCCATGACCATCATGTCTGCTTTACCATCTGCTGCCCTATCACCATATCACACTTCACTGCTAGCCTATCCATCCCATCCCATCCCATCCCATCACCACGATATTGATTTCACAGCTGCTCCAGCCACTGCCACCCCATCACTGCAACATCCACTTCACCACTGCCATTAGCCATAGTGATGAGATCTTCTTCTTCATCATGATGCACTCTTCACTCTTGCTGCACACACTCCCATGGCCATCCCATCACCTCAGTGTCAATTTCCTCACTGTGAGGGGCATCCTGATCTGGTCACCATGATGTCCATTTCACTAAAATCAATGCTCACCACTAACCCATCACCACAGTGCCCACCTCACCAACACTGCCATCTCCATCACTGTGATGTCCACTTCACTACTGTCAATAGTTTTCCGGTCAAAAATATGGGAAAATTCCTGTTCTGTCTCAAGGCAGTAGACCCTAGTGCCTACACTGCTGTGCTGTGGGAGGCCATCGTGCTAGCAGTGGTCCTGTCCCCCATGAAGAAAGATATCACTCAAGCGATGCTCTGATTGAAATTTGAAGGTTGAGAGGTACAAATCAATCTTTCCCGGACAATTGGCTGCCTATCTGACATCATATCAAAATTGATTGGCCTAAGACAAAGCCGCTTAGTAAGATTTTATGAACTGCACTCTACTGATAAAAGTATTTTTAAATT